GTTCCCTCTCCCATACTGAGCCTAGAAGTATCGTCAACTTCCAAACAAGGCTGACTCTCCATCCTTAAAAACCGAGAGGGACAGCCCATACGAGCCGGAGGTCTTATACCTCTGAAGGTAACTGAAGCTGCAGCAGGTTTTAGGAGATTTTGTGTCGGAAAGAGGCCAGCTCAACTGTTCTGCCCATCGTCCAAGACGGCATTTCTGAATATGAATCAGTGTGTTAACAGACTTTTTCATTAACTCAAAACTGCTTCCCTTGAGCCTGTGATGGTAATAAAACTGAAAAGATTGCGACAATAGCCGCAGCCTTCTCCGTCTTTCTATACTTTCCTATCCACCACTTCTCGCGGTCACTATTGAAGCACTTGATGGGGATTTGCAAACTTTGTCGTATCCAGCGAGCGTCCAGCAAGGCAACCCATGTCGAAGAAATCCATCGTTTTTGTTTTCATTGTGCGCGAGAATCAGCCATTGTTTGGATTCACATTTGAATCGTTTCCTTGATTACTGTGCAGTGTTCACTTAGTCCTTCGGCTGATGACTGAGATGAACGGTGATCAGAGAGTTTCGCTTCGGACGACGATTTGCAATTGTCGTTGATATGGTACTGTGAGTATCCGTTTCCGGTGACCTTTCTGTGGTTGTTTACCAGACGTAAGGAAAATCACCCTCGTAGCAGTGACAGAATCGGGTCCAGTTCACGGACCGAGAACCATAACTGAACTATCACAAAACGCATCATGATAGAACGAAGTGTAAAAAGGCAGAACTGGATCCCTTGACCACTCTTTAATGCAAATTATCAAAAAAGAAAACAAGTGTGTCGATGTTGAGATCATTGCACACGAACACATGGTGAGAAGTAACGTGATGTACGCATGTCAGTTTGGGTGCATGTAGAGACAAAGTAGAAGCAGTCGTAGATCAGAAACACAAATACAAGTGATTTATGATGAAGATGGAAGCAAGCGAACAAACAAGAGGATAAAATAGAAAACGGTATGAGGCAATGAATTCGCTCTGTGCTCGAGCTACAAAAAATAAACCCGTTGACACACCGTACTTTTGGATTTCCTAATCGCCATAACATGGTTGTTGGTATGGGGCGCTGATGGCCTTAGTGAGGCAGGGGGAGAAAAACCAAACAATGATGAGGAAACATTCCCACAGAAAGACCGAGCTGTTGATGGCAATAACTTGGGATCAATTTGAAGGTCATGAGCCTGGGATTCTGGAATAGGATTAAACATGGCACTGCTGTCTGTATGAAAGAACGGAGTTTTGGAGGGTCACGACAAGAGGAATTACGCTTCCTGACGCATATCAGGTTCCATATTGTAGTGCTTCAGATCAGTTAATGAACGAGCAAATTCCGTCCACTGTTCCGCGCCAGGCTGAGAAAGACTTTCATGCACGGCACAGACAGTAACGTGGCCGTGATTGTCACCTGCGGCCACGTGCGTGCCAGACACGTTCCAACGACATTTATTCAATGCAGTACCATTATTTGTATTTTCTGTTGCGCCTGCAGATCCGATTACAGTCCGGGCACAGGGTACCTTGAAAAAAGAAACAAGTGATCAGTGATTACCTTGTCGATGCAATGAGGCATGACACTCGCGTAAAAACATCGATATAACAGGGTACACAGAATCACCTCAAAATTAGGTTATTGCTAGTCACTAAAATCAGAATCAATCTTCATTTAGCTAGGAGGACCTCGGAATGATGGTCACCGATGGTTAGAAACACTAAGTGATTTGGCTGGGTGTCACTCGTGCATCCACTCATTATTCTCCTAACACAATCTATATGAATTCCTCATCTTCTGCTTGAATTCGCTTCGACATTCCAATCTTCATTTTGCTCTTTTATCCAAATGGGCAACCAAAACCGGCGCACGAAAGTGCATGGTTAATGGTTTTAAAAACTGAAACTAATACACCTGGTTAGTTAGAGGCACTGAGTGATATAGCTAAGCGTCGTGAACAGTGGCGTTCGTGCATCTTCTCGATTTCTCTGAAACCTTAGTCCATTGAAATTCTCCACTTCCAAACCGACTCTACTTTCAACTCTCCTGTCTTTCTCCTACTGTTCATCCAAATGGATAGCTAAAGGCAGCAAACAAAACCGGTGCACAAAAGTGCATGGTTAGTGGTTGTCTGAACTGAAACTGTTTATTCAGTGATCTTTCCGCTACATAATCCGTGAGAACAAGCAATATCTATTTTCCTAAAGCAATCAGAGCTCAATCGGTCAGTTTATGCAGGATATACCACATGCGACAAGTTTTGCATGTCAGTTTATCGTTCTTCTACGGGGTACGGGATGTCAGCAGGCAGGCCGAACAGCATTCGCACCACTGACTTCTATTCTGGGAGGAGGACTGCAGCAATCAAAACCAAAGAATTTGGACATAGGGTAGCCTTGCCGAACTCCGCTGGAGACCGCCAATGGTGGCGAAAGCTGGCCATAGGCCCCAGCCCGACCCCAGATTTGGCGATAAAGCTCTTTGAGAATCGAAACACACACCTCGGGTACCCATACGAGTAGCGTGCAAATAATATCGTGAAATAAGTCAGAGTATTGATCACGGTAAAAAAGGCTGCCATGAACAAAACGAAAACATCTATTTTTCACCAAAGAGAGATCATTCAGAAACGGTTGATGAGAAGTGGACTGGGTCCACAAAGAAGGCTCAGATAGATCCAGATGTTAATCTAGTGCAACCTTTGTTGTCTAACAATGAAGTGTCAGTGAAAATCACAAGACACTTCAATAGGCCTGGAGTGTCACTTGGCAACAGCAGTCAGTTAGCTGATAAGCCACAGCAGTTTAGTCACCTGGTCTCGGTTTATATGTCTTCTGACAGAGAGAGATGTATGAAGTGCGAAGANATCGAAATCCACTCAAACGAAGGAATACCGAAAACTATGAATTACCTCAACATCTTGATTGATATCCCAAATATCTAGACGGCCAGTGCCGTCAACTGCCGCGAATACAGCGGGATGAACAGGACTCCAGTTTACATCATACACATAGTCGAAGTAGTCTTCGAACGTGTGCAACGGACTGTACTCTCGTGTAGACCACAATCGCACGGTCCAATCCAAAGAAGCGGTCAGGAACAGCGTGGAGAAACTCACTGCTCCCGGGCTTGGATGTGTGGATATGGCTGTGATTGGAGCACAGTGACCTCTGTACGGGACGTGTCGTGATACTTCTTCAACTGTTCCCGTGCGGCTGACAAAAGGATAGTAGGTACATGAGAAAGAGAGTAAGGTAGTGAAAAATTGAACCACAATTTACCTGAAATATGCGAAGTGCACAGTTTTCTGGTTCTTCCGAGAATCGAAGAATTCAGTCTGCAACAGTTATATTTCCTTCTGATGGAGGTTAACAGAAAGAGGTTCGAATAGATGGCAATATTAATAGTAATAGACCAAGCGTAGCAGACTGCTAATTTCCACGGCAACATCTAAAGGAAGAGCGCTCTTACCGAAAATACATTTAGACAAGAAAGGCCAACAAGAATAGGCTATACAAAGTCCCTCAACCAGTGTTTAACTATTGTTTCTTTCCAATAGTCATTTACAATAAACCATGAGGTTTCAAACCACTGTTAGTCATAAGAGTATTGCATCAAATGTGATGCTGGTCCATAGTAGTACTTTCTGAGGTTGTCTATACCAGATGATTTCAAAGCATGAGGATAAATTGATGCAGCTGGTCATAGAACTGAACTTCTATGAAAAAGCTAAGGAACTCGGATAACCTTGACCTTTACTTCAAGGTCATCGATGTGCTCCATGACCGAGTTCAAAATCATCTACCAACCGGACTCAGCTGCAGACGGCTTGTTGTCGACTAGCTAACTCATTGAGACACTATACCATTTGCCATTTCATGTTTTATGTGCCACGTTTTAGGCATCCACAACACTTGGCAGCAGGTTATTATGGTTAAAGGGCTAATTCGCAGAAAACACTGGGCATTGTTATTAAAAATTTTCACAAAAACAGGATATTCTGTTGCATAAATAGAATAAATTAGACTGATGTACTGCACACGGAAAATTCAAAAATATCAAATAGATACTGGTAATGATACATTGCTGATGAAAGATGTTCAAAGCACTCGACATTTGCATCAACTTGTTTACAAGGTTGCACGAATCTGATTAGACAATTCTATTACTATTCATTATTCTCAACCGCACTACAATGACAGCTGGCTGAGTTGTTCCACAGCGTACAGTTTTCCATGTCAAACGCGGAAACTCCAGCAGAAAAAAACGAAGATTCATGTGATGAATTCTCTAATGTGTAACACTGTAGAAACATACTTATTAACATCTAATACGGTGATGAATGTTGGGACCAATATTGACCTATTAGACGCGTGACCATAAAAGCATTCTGAGGAGGAGGGAAGGCGGAGGCAACCTACCTGCTGTGACGTTGGCCACAATATGCATTGCCATTTTCTGCCCCGACGGCATAGTTGTTCACATCATTCGCAAAGAACGACATGCAAGTGGGGTACAGGTCAAACAAGCCGCTACCAGACATTTCACACACTTTTATCTTTTCGCGGGGCTGGGCCAACATCTCGAGGTTCCATGCACACAACGATCCATCCGATCCGAGACTGATAATGTTGTGTGCGTTCTGTGTACCGACCAATGTGATTGCGAACACTGGATGAGTGTGAGCCCATGAGGTGAGTGGGCTGCGTTGCACAGGAGTGCGTTTGTTGGCCCTGATAGTGAAGGATCGGGGCGGGGGAAGAATATTATAAAAATACCTGACTCAGGGCTAGAGATTACACAACAGCAATAAACGAAAATACTACAGTTCCATATAAAATCGTTAGGGTCTTAGTTCAATCATCGTTTTGATTGTGTGATTACCACTTGGCCGGGAGGAGGACAAAGGATATTTGAAATGGGAGTGAGTATTAGGATAATAAATCAAAACAGGCGAAATCACAAGTGAGAATTATTCAAGAAACCAGTGCTGTTCTATATTGTTGATAATTTTTTTTGGTGCTTGAGCATTCGATCAATTGCGCAATTACCGTCTGCGGAAACACCTTATATGCATTACAAGTCTGTCACGCTCGAATGTAGATAAGCCAGCGGGCCCACATCCGTAATGCTATGCAAAAGTCTGTCACCAAAGCAAACGGCTTCATCAAGTGCACAGTCAACCATTAGGTTACCCCACGTTCTAGCGAACGGCTTGACACTCATCGAAGCATCCCTCCAGATAATGAATAATAATAATAATTAATGGTGGACGTCATTTTCAGGCAGGGCCACCTCACGATTGCACTAATCACCAAGGGATCAGTCTCATTTCCGTTGCGTCCAAGTTGATCACATCACTGATCATTCGCAGGCTCATTTTGATAGGAAAAAGTCATCTTCCTGAAGAACAAGCTAGATTACACTACGTCAGGTTTTCGAGAAACGTCAAATGTTCAGTAGACCAACCAGTTTTGTATTTTTGGACATACAGGCTGCGTTTGACTCAGATGGTACATCTGCTCTGGGACATGGTGCTGGTAAAAAAACAGAATCTCACTTTAATTGAACCGCGCATGATTATACACAACTGCCTAGAAACGAGCAAACAATTCCCAAAATACGAAATATGGTATGTCTGAAAACTTATCGCCGAACAGCCATCTGATTGGAAACGTTGGACACACGATGGTATGACAGACAGACCGAGGCAAGTGGAGCAGGTTTCGATCACGTCGCCAAAATGTGTGCAATCACAAGTATTGATCCAACACGTGAGACATTGAGACTTACATGAGATTAACTCCTCTCCTCACACAGTGTTCTAGGCCTCGTAAAAAGGGAACAGTTGTTACAATATCCCACATTCAACACTATATTTCAGTAATAGTATGTACTCGATTCGTTGCCAATATTAATTAATGATTATAAACTCACGAATCTTAGATTCCAACGTTAGTTGGAGGGGCATCAATCGTAAGATAACTGGACTACGGTTACAATGATACATGCTCATTTACGAGAGAAAGAAACATCGAGCAGACAGTATAATTCCATTCGTCAATGCCCCGTGTACCCTCTTCTATTCTTCTGCACTTGGGTAAGCATGAAGTCCAGAAAACTGATAATTCAATTGCTTCCAATGGTTTCCTGCAGTATGTGCTGTAGGATGAGCTAGCTCATCCATCCCCGTCTTCAGCAAAGGAGTTTTCCAATCATTTTCAGATTCGGAATGATCAGAGGCAACGCAATGAACTAAATTTCAGAATTCATCAAGTCAGAGATTATCATAATATAAGAATACAATGAAAAGGACCCGAAAGATTTACATGATAAGTATCACAAGACACGATAAGCAGAACTATCCAAGATAAGTACGGTATTCCCTAAGGCGTTCAGAGATTGGAGGCTGAGGAAAACGTGTTTTATTAATGCAACAAATGTAGCTGTGTCCCGAGTGCCATGTACGGAAGCCTAAAGACATAGTGGTTTGTATACTATTTCCGGCGAAAGGGACGTTTTGGGGAAATCACGTCCACCATTGACTATTCTTCGAGTCGTGCTTGTGTGGTCAACTGCCAGGTAATTCCTGTCGAACGAGGGCATACTTTCCGTCGACCAAAATGGTAAAAGAGAGTTGTAAAATTTCAGGCTATAACAAATAGCTCCTAGAGGAATCCATCGTTGGTTCGGACTCAAGTTCCGATGCAAATACCCTTCCAAAAATATGCAACGCGGATACCGCTCCATCAATGTGAAACCTAACTCAGAAGACATGTCGAAGTGCATGTCACCATGAAGAAGAGCGTGGTCAGAAATCAACGGCAACTCCATCGTCTGACTGCTGCTGAGGAACAATGTACGTCTTTTGTCGACATCGATCCACGTTTCAAACGGACATAAAAGTGTTAAAACCTATAGCAGTTGATTACTACTACTCAAACATAAAACGATTACAATGAACCATAGTTCTTTATTTTACAAATCAAATAGTCGGTCAGGACAATTTTTAACCGTGACAATTTATTGCACATGACGAAAGTCGTGCGTTATTAGGAATAGGTAGTTTGAAACCGAACGAACATGACTGTAACTTTTCTAACTTTTTCTTAGCTCTTGTTCACTGGTGACAGTAGATTTGGCAAGAATTACCGTTCCGTGTGTTATTAATAGAACAGTAGAAAGGATTAGTATGTTGTTGCACATTTTATAAATTCACGGATTTTTCTCCTAATAATGGAAGAAGCATCAGTTCAAATCGCGATTAGGGAACAAAACGTCAACACATTTCAAACTAAAATCTGTTTACAAATGAGGAATCAGGTTCTAGGCTTTTGGTGGTTACCTGTACGCAGCAAATGTTATACAAGATTCTTCCCGCTGTCACACACTCAATCCAAACTCATTCAGGTACGTGTGTCCATATGAAAGCATCTGTTCTCGAATACCTTTAGTCAGCTGTGGTACCCACTGTTTCATTGGCACTGAAACTTGCCCCGTTTGCCTTGTCCTGTTGGTCACACAAACGTGTGAACAACGCCTTCAGTCAGCTGACTGATTAAGAGAATTTCGGCTGCAAGTACGCAGGCATATTGCACAGTCGTGACATTTATGAACAGTACACGGTTGACCTTCGTCCACATTCTTCAACCATGCTTACGATTCATCTCGGTTCGGGAAGACCGATATTAGAGTATTGAAAATGTCCGACGGACACATCTAGTTTCCGTGTTCGTAAAACGATAGCCAGAAACCCGCACATGTCACTGTCTCTCGGTCAGTGTGTTGCGAAAATCAGAGGGATATTTTGATTTCTCCGAACCAATTTCGAAAAACGCAGAAAAGTGCTCGTTGATTGATGTCAATGACAAAGAATACAATGTACTAATGCAATGAGGCCAGGTTTTAGCTACAAATGGCAGACAGAGGAATGAGATTTTACAGATCTCAAGGACAGAGATGTGCCAGTGGAATGACTGTGTCAGCTCGTTTGAACAATCATTATTTACGCACTTTTGTTTTGTGGTTTTGATTGCCGTATCTTAGCTACCGATTAGGATGCAGGAAGAGATGTAAGTGTATTGACAATAGCAATGTGCCAAGGTATGAAAAGCTGTTTGGCCTAATGAGCAGAGTGAGCTAGCGTTTATTGACGTGTGCTTCCAAAGTCGACAATACATTTGTATATTCAATAAACAAAAAAGGAAGTAAATATACCTTTAGGACCTTTATCAGTACTTTTCATACTTTCTTAGAAAAAAAGAAACAGAAAGTGAAAATACAGTATTAGGCTAGCGTAAAACAGCAGTTCAGTATCAAAAGATACTCACCGACTATCCCAGAGTACAATCTGTCCAGAATAAGTGCCACCAATAACCAGATTGGGATGAAACTTGGACAAAGTGGCTGAGGTCAGTGGAGACTGACAATGAAAGATGTATTCGGGACTGTTTTTCTTTGGGAATTTCATATTCCAGATAAGGCAAACCCCTTCCGGTTCGTGTACTGCTTCCTCATTTCGATGATAGGAAGCCAGTAAGAGTTCAGGAAACACACTAGACCATTCTAAACTGGTCACTGTGCGCCGTTTCGACCATCGTTCGTCGAAAAACTCGTTTGAAATAGTCAACAATCCAGCTTCGGGTCTGCAGAAAAGAGGGATTTGTGAAACACCAGATGAGCGAAGTTCAAATTCAAAGATGAGAGTTATTGGTTGTTCGGGTATACTTATACTATGTAAATTTTCGGACGGTCAGTGATCTCAGTTTCGCAAACAGATAACTGTGGAGGAATATTAGAAACCTGTGTTTTGTAGCAAAATGTAGTAGGGCATTCACATTTATGCACGATGTTTTTTAATACGGAAGTTGTCTATTTGGGGTAGCGAAAGAAACACACCGTTTCTTTCGAGGACTATTTACGCATTAGGTGCATATCTGGTCAACGGATAGATGAAAGAATATCATTTATTGGTGTAGCTTTGACTAACTGCACACCAGTATTCAATTCGACAGAAAGATGGCGCATTTCAATCGCAGTAATCCAAACCAGACGGAGGATATGAAGAAGACTCAAAGATAGCAAAAACTGCACTATGCATGATCACAGGTTGTCTTCATGTAGGTGAATTACGGAGGGTTTAAGCCAAAACTTTGAGTGAAGTAAGCAGTTTTTACGTTACTTTCCTCGCAACTCAGTGAAGCGAGTCTGGTTTCAGAGAGCGATAACGGAAGCACACGAAATGAAAAAGTTACATCGATGGAGTGTGCTTGCATGTGTAAAAGCAAGAAAGAACACTACTGAACTTGGTTGCTGAACAAACACTCAACAAGAGTTTATCTTTCATCCGGGTCAATAATAGATCAGTAGTTTCCAACTTAACACTGAATCTTAATCAGAAAGTCTACAAATAAATATATTTTGTTGGACGTTTAGGATGCAAAAACATTGCTAACAGTTGGTTATACTGTTGTAGTTCGAGGAGAGGAAATTGGTTTTGGAGCGATTTCTGAGCTGAATATGTTGTATGTAGACGTTTCATTACCATAACAGGTAACACAATCGGAGCGACTTCGGGGAAGCTGCTAGTCTCTCTTCAAATTTGTGCATTCTGATGGGCTAGTTTGTTGTCGTGGTAACTCTCCCCGACGCCGCTCATTCGTAGATTTGCTGGACAGAACGGATCTAGGTCATCAATACTTTGTTCGACCGTGNGACCGTGATAAATGGATTCTGCTCTTACACGATAGGTTAAACTGTGGCCTCTGTAGTACCGCAATTTGATGAATTCCCCGAAAAATCGAATGGACTAATCCAAGCTTTATACTTTTAATTGATTGAAGCATTCGCACAAGGTGATGACCGTCGACCGTGTAGCTCCAGGGTAAGGGTTTGAAGTCCCAACCCGGAGGTTCGCGGTTCGAGTCCTGATAGGGACACAAAAAGTACACACTACTGAAGAGTGCCAAACAGGACAAAACAGCTGTTCAGTGCTCTTTTTTGGTTATCATAAACATTTTCAGAGCTACTATTGCTTGCTCGAGGAATAGATGTCGGAGAACCATTCAATAACAAAATTAAATGAAACGTAAGTTTCAGTAGAATGGCAATTGTGCCGCAATTCATTTACGCGAAATAGCAGTAATGTGCGACACAAGTGACACTGTCACCTTCCACTCACTGGATCGATGTATTGGGCCCTAGTTGAGAATTCAAACGAGGCTTAGTCGATCCATTTAGACGATTCAAGCATTCATAACTTTTCAAAGATCATCCATCATTCAGCCCCACACCCTTTAGTTTTGTTCAACCATTGATCATACTGAACCCTATCTACCAGAAAAGTCTATTTGGAAACATGAGACAGATATTCTGGCCCTTAAAGTCTCAAATCAAATTAAATACCAGTATCGGTGGTCGATATCAACGTCGTTGCAAAATTAAACTCGATAGTCCTTATCTCCATCTTTTCAACCCGCTAACTGTTAACACAGAACTGGGCAATTCCAGAAAGAAACTGCGATTAGCCAACAACAAAGTACGCATTATCCAGACTAAAGTACTTTGCGACTCATCCAGTTCAGCTGAACAAGTCTTCCGGAGGCATCAAACACGATTGGTACGAAAGCGGCAATTAGGGTGGTGGTGACGCCGTGATTCAGTTTCTGTCACCGGTTTGCTTTGAACACCATGGTCTGAGATTCGAACTATGCCACCGCCACTCAACTTTGGTGGTAGATAGCTTTGCTGTCGTCCGATCCAGTACCACGCCTATCTTAATGGGGCCTTATTTGGTTCGTGGGTTACCGGTTTCCATCACTGAACCCGCAAATGCTCGCGACAAAACGGGTCCACTCCGACCATCGTTCCTCAAAATGTCATCCCTGCACAACAGGACTTGATGAGACACTGGGTGGTTTGGTTTCGGCAGTGCGTAATTTGTTATTGGCAATCCCCAGGTTTACCCTGACAATCGGCGATTTGAAAAGGTAAAAATGGACAAGCAAGCAAATAGTTCTAGACTAAGCTATTATTTAGGTCGACGGAACCAGCCCGGGTAAAGGGTGCCAAGAGTTAAGTTATTGAAATCAGAACGGGCAACGAGACACACAACAACACATGTGCAACTGTGCTGCTGGGGAGTCAATTCATCAACATACCTTTGCACTTATCCATTAGTCTTTTTATTTTATTGACACCGCTAATACCCTTATACTCAAATCAATTTGCTCTGGGAAATCAAGTCGCATGATTTCACCGCAATACGAGCGACAACACGACCGCCGTAATCATGTGAGCTATTGCTGTGCCACGATCTAACAAAATCTACGTTGACTGAACAAAGAAAGTTTAACAACGAAAATAGCAGGGTCCTGACCATGGCACTGCCTTGACTTACGCTGTGAATGAAAAGCTAATTGGTTCCTAGATAAATTAAAACTATGGTTACTACTAATGAAACCCTAAATCGATACATCTTCCGCATCGCCTCAAACAGAAACTGCAAGTGGTACCGAATCAAGAACATCATTATTATGTAGACAGGTTTAGGTAAAGACATCAGAAATTTTGATTTTAAGACGATGATGAAAATTAGAATAGAGCGCCTTCATTTCAACATGGAATACCGTACTCACGTTTCTGCCTCGTGATCCGCACCTGAATAATCGAAGAACAATGTGTCTTCCGGTTCGCACACTGCGCGCTCCATGATCCGCGCGGACCGTTCGAAAAATTGCACAAACCCGTCTGATGTCATGATACGCGTTTTCTCCTCTTCTGTTAATGTGGGCACTTTTGAGATGTACAAGAAAACCATCATCAAAAATATATTTGTGTGAAAAAAGTGACATGAAAAGGAAATTAAAACTCGACAATCTGAGGTCAAACGAGAAACCAGGGTAGTTTCGGTTCAACTCTCCTATGTGTTCCTGTGCCAGATGATAACTAGTCGATTTTCTGTTGATCCTTTACCGTCAAATCTGATAATCTGTCTGCTTGCGCTTAAAGTAAAAATTTCTGTCCTAAAATAAACTCTTGCTACAAGCGCAAATGATTTCACCAAAACATCTAAGAACATAAGCGAACACTTCAGTTCATATAAAAAACAGTCGGTAACAGTTAGAAAAAATCGTAAATCGATACAAATAGAGTGAGATCACATGAGAAACCCGTGTGACGGGTTCAAACTAGTTTGTATGGAAGGATTAAATTGCACAGCAGTAAAATGAACATAACTTTCTATTCACCGTAGAAGATCATGCACTGATAAATAACCCCGAAAGATCATGCCACTGGCGAGAAAGCGATAGTCCCAATAGGTATGATCCAATCAGGTTTCTTACAATAAAGCAAAGCGTCTTGATTCCAGGCATAACTGTTATTACAAAACCAGTTACGATCCACTGATGTAAGACTATCAGTTTCAATTTGCACACTCCTAAGCGATGGGCTTTCATGCAGTGGTTTTAGTTGCTACCTTTTGCTACCCACTTAGATGAAGCAGAAGGAGAAAGATAGGAAAGTCGACAGAAGAATCGACGAGAAAATGGAGAATTTTCGTAGACAACGCTTGCGAAGAAAATAAGATGCGCAAACGCCACTGTTTGCGATATTCAGCTATATCAATTAGAGTCCAACCATTGATTACAATGATCCCGAGGTTCCAAACCAGGGAGCTTAAAGCTAAATATGTGACCGAGTCCACTTATTAGGGTTTATAAGCCCCCGACATAGTAAGACCTGGAACGAGGGTACAGAAATACTAACCAAGAGACTCGGTCACATGTCGTGTTAGGCTCCCGGGCTGGGGACCTCGGGATGATCGGAACCGATGGTTATGAACACTGAGTGATATGGTTGAGTGTCTCAAACACGCGCTCGTGCATCTTCTCAATTTCTTTACAATCTTGGTCTGCATTCAACTTTCCTGTTTCTCCTACAGGTTCAAAACCGGCGCACGAAAGTGCATCGTAAACAGTTATACGACCTGAACTGAACTGGACGCGGATAGTGCCAGATTGCTGAGATTCTGCCCCAAATCCAAGTTCTGTACTGACTGCAGCTCAGAAACTTAAACGAGAATGCACAATTCGTAAAATCGCTCTTGTTAATACATTGAAATGAACAGTTTTGGGAATTGAGGTGTAATGGGCATCTTTGACGTTTGACCGCAATGAGCTCTTGACACCGGCTCCAGGTGAATCTTTTCTTATTACACACTGTGATGAACAGTAGATGAGGTAAACACCATAGTCACGAGGACCTGTTGTTCAGTGATCGAACAAGTAACCTAAGCCCTGGAACTTGGATTAGTGAACAGCTAGGTTAGGTGTGGTTTTGAACCGGACGACAGCAAAGCTATCTTCCACCAAAGTTGGGTGGTGGGGCTCGAACCATAGTGTCCAAAGTAAACCGGTGACAGAGATTAAACCACTGCCCACACACAACGTCCTGATGCCTTGAAGATCAAGTATGGGTTAATCGAAAGCTTCACTTGAAAAGTCACCAAAAAAATTCACCCGCTTTAGCTTAATGAAATTCCTAACACAAGCGAAATGTGGACAGATGTTTGTTTTCAAGTATTTTTGCATTGCAGGGCATGTGGTCTGAACTCATACAACTTCAAATAAAAATAATCATCATCATATAACTCACACTTTTTCGGTGCTTCTTCAGTCGCGGATGCTATGGAATCTCCATCAGCCGGTGTTCGACCCAGACCTGAGCCATCACGACCACGAGTTGCTGCGGCCAGGCCCACGTGTGGCATTTTTTGCAGCTCAGCCAGCGCAGCACTCGCGTCCACATCATCTCGACCGGTCTCGTCGTAAGTCAGAACTAAAGAATATGAACGATGACGTATAAAGCATAATTATGTTCAACTGATGCACTGCGTCACAGATGTATGGAGCTCGTTGATATATGTACGCACAACAAGTGATAAATCGTTGGACTGAATTACCCAAAAGCACAAGAATGACTTTGCGGACCTTGACGAGTCGAATCATTCTTGTGCTTGTACTCCCACATGTGAATCGACCCTAGTCATGATCACCGTACAGCGAAATATAGTGAAGATAACTTCACCCATTGCTCCAAACTCGCATTGCATACAAATTAGAGTAGTATGTGAGGTGAACAGGGATTGGACCATCGTGGGACGGAGGAAAGAAAGTGAACCTCTGTAGCCAACAAGCAGAGTAAACAATCTAACTGTGCATACGTAAGAAATGAAAACAAGAAATTCATTTTTACCGGTTCGCTGCCATATACTCAAATAACTTCAACCATCCAGTGGCTAACTTCCGGACCCCGTGGTACCAAGCCGACTGAGCCGTTCTTTGAAGTATTCCGCGCAGCGATCAAGTCGTTCATCCTTATTGTGAACAGATTATCCTTCTTATAGCAGACTATTTCACTAAATGGAGTTTGCCGATCGTTCCTATTTCGTACCGGTTTCCCAGATTGAACTGCAACTTCCATTTTACTAGCTACTGTGACCCATTAGTCCTCACGGTCTTTCTCGAGGTTCTTCGTCAACCGACGTTGCAGATGCCAACTAACCCTGTCTCAATCCTGGCAGGATGAGATTTATCGTTTTATTATTTTCATCAGGGATACTGACTCATGAAATATTCAATGTCTCTGACACGTTTCACCCTCGGATCTACAAGCAACACTACCCGGCTAGCCTGATCCCACTGTCTATCTACACCATCACGTTGAGGCGTGCTTGACTCATACAATAGCTCTGAATCATAGCGTGTACGTACTGCTGGGACACAGGCGTGATGAGTTAACCCAGTTTGTTAGTTTTTTCACCGGCCAGTCAATCGAAGTGAACTACATCAGAACTAAAGCCTGGTCAGACTCAACGCAGGTGATCCAATAGGACCTACGATTTTGCACTGAGCCATGCCAACGGTAACTTACTGCTATGTGGTCAATTTGAGTTAGCGTACCAGTTAAACTGGAGCATCTCGTTTCCGTCTGTTGAGAGCTGTGTCCGAAGCTGGTATTAGACAGGTAGAGATGATGATCTGTGCAGAACTGAAGAAGTTGATCACCGTTATCTGTTTTTTGGGAGGGTATAGCACGACCGTCCAGGCAAGCTTCTGAGGCGGTCAGTTTTGAAACCTGCGCGTTAAAATCACCTGCAAGTAAAACTATGTCGGAGCTTCAACTCATCCGAATGAAATCGGTGAGTTTATCGTAGAAATTGTCCTTTTGTGTTCCAGAACTGCAATTGGTTGGGGCATATGCTGAAATGATGAGCAAGCACAATCGGTTGTTGAAATCTACAAAACATTGTCGCGGATTTCTGCGTAGCTCGAACTAAGCTCTGGTGGACAAGCGCATATGTGCACGCGAGAGTACATTTACACGTTAACTGCCATGCAGATCGCAGTGAGATGGTCTGGGGACAATGGTGCGAATGTAGATGACAAAGTTGAACAATGGTGGACTGGGGTAATTTATACAGAATGGCACAAACTGATTCGGGGCCGGAATTCACAGCAGTCCATTTTGGAATCGGTTGAATACTTCACATGATTCCCGAATAGTTTCAGTTTGTTTTTACAATCATCAACCATGAACTTGTGTGTGTTGGTTTGGGTTGCTGTCTTTTGTCTGCCTCTTTGCACAAGAGAGCAGAATGGAGATTGGAATGTTGAGAGTAGAGTCAAAGGGAAGATAGAGAATTCACATGGACTAAAGTTGCAAAGATGATTGGTAGATGCACGACCGCCACAGTTTAATACACTCAGCCATATAACTCAGTGCTTATTACCACTGGTCATCGTGATACCGGGGTCCCCATCCAGGGAGCCTAACGGTACCTATGCGACTTAGTGTACTGCTTAGGGTTTTCCCCACCTTCATGCCATCTTTATTTGACCACCCTTGACCTTCTTTCATCCGCTGCTTGCCTTGACAAACATCGCGCACCGTGTCAACCTATTTGGTGATATGCGGAATACATGACCCAACCACCGTAATCTATGGAGGTCGACAGCTTGCTCCAGTGGAAAACCGCGGTTACCTAAACCTGTTTCTCGAACACTCAGGCCTGACGAGCTCATCCAGACCAAATCTGCTTTATCATCGGCCATGACGTTCGTTTTACTGGCAACTGTAAGTTTTTTTTCACGAGCAGTGGAAGGCCAACCCAAAGCGGTCGGCTCACCCCATCACATACAAACGATTCAGGCGGATGCGTGTGGACGGGCTTGAGAGTTGTGATCACGCTTTGCCATTTGACAGTCTCCTCGAGTAAAAGTGTAAATGAACCGCAGCTAAAAATTCTACTCACCATGGCGTTTCCGGTGCAGTGAATCACCTGGAGTACGCAGACACGCATGAACGAATCTAGAGACTGGACAGCGAACTGACCATTGAGATCATGTGATGTTTCGTCGCCTTTATTCGAGTACAGGTATCCAGGACGAGATACAAGTTACCGAAGCATAGTGCAACCTTTGTAACTATAGTTGGTATGATCGGACCGCGGCATTGGGCCTAGCAGCCCACAAGGAGTACTGTGGTCAGGCCGTCACAATCAGTGCTCAACAATGAAAATGTTTTTATTTTACTGTGGAAAGAAAACCACTAAGGCGATAGAGACCTTCGTTGGCGCGTAAGAAAGCTGGGATCCTCTTGCCTGGGTAGCCGACCGATCAATCTTTAGACGAGAATGAAGGAACACAACGGGGGCTGACATCGGTCGGTCGGGTAAGAAATGCAAGTCGAGATACGATGAACCGATACATCGTTTATGCTGATTTGGGGTGCATGCCCATAACATTTATTTGTGTACAGTTCGGATTCCGTCGAATAAAAACCGTTCTCGCTGAAGCCGACTGTACCACAAATGAATAGCTGTGCAACAGGAAACAGATTTTCCAGGGGTTCGGCGCCACATTCTATTTACCAGCTGCTTAATTAACGGGGAGGAACAGAATGTGGGACCCACATATGGAGGTTAGGCAAGCGCTCAGCTACATAGTTCATCTGCAACCGTCCGGCTGGCGACACCGAAGGAGAGCGGGAACCAACAGAGTTATAATTGTCATTTCTTATTGGATCACATTACTTGGTGAGGTAAGTAGATCGTAAAATCTGTACTGGTTGTACAAATTTACTCTATTCACCCCAATCGAAGAAAAGCAGATCCATACCTACAGTACACACTCGTTTTTACAATATTTACACATTGTGACCTTGGCACATAGAGCGCAATCACTCAACTGCATTTCGCCGTAGCACTATTGGTTGATTGGGTTGTGATGATGTCTATGAATAGTTGATTGGAGACAAGTTACTGCTTGCAACAACAATTGAGTAGATGCGTGTCAACAACGGAGACAATGAATCCGTGTGTTACGTTTATGTTAGGACCGGTCACGGAAATGTATGTCAAAGCTGAAATGACCTAGCGAGCGTCAAAAGACAGGCGGATCTTACTTCCTCTTAAAGATCGAATCAATGTATACACCTTTCATTTTCGTGTGGGAGTCAGTTAAGAACCGGTTAACGTTCCCAACTCTGAAGCAAATACGAACGAAGAATACGTTTGTGATTAACTGGATTTTTCTTTTTTAACAATTAAGAGTTTTATCGATACTGTGGCGAAGTGATAAATGAATTTTCTAGAGACGAACTTTCAGCATTTGACATTGATTTGTAGTAGTCTAGTAAGCTGTATTAGGCAGATACACAAGCTGTGGATCTTACTCCTTGAAAAGTTCCATTCTCCGAATAGACAGAATTGAAAGCTCAGTTTCAGTTCATACAAAGGTTAACCATGCAATCTTGCGCAGTGGTTGTGTACTGCTTTTTGGTTACCCATTTCAATGAAGTAGACGGAAGATTGGAATATTGAAAGTAGTATCAAGGAGAAAATAAAGAATCTAAGATGACTATTTTTGCTAGTATACTGAGCAGATGCAGGAGCGCATTTGTTATCGATACACACTTTTTCACTCAGCGGCTATACTAATCCCCGAAGTCAACATTCAGGAAGAAAGACGCGACCTATACGACCAAGTATCTCTGCCAGGGTTTCATGCGTTCGTGACGAATCTGAATTTGATCAGCCTTGACATTTTTAACCAAAACCAGTCGAGTCAATCTTTTTGATTGAGCAGCAACATATGCCTCAACCAACGAAATTGATGATGGTAGATTACTAAATTCGGTAGGCGGTCGTCATTACTTTGAACTATGTGCCAAGCCTCGGCATTGACCGTTTGGGTTCCCAAATAAAAGGAAGCTACCAATGTCTATTCACAAAACATCACTTCAACCAAAATCTTGTAGTTTGGGATAACCAGGATTATAAAAAACGCGTTCGAGGTCGAACAATTGTCTTTTTTTAATTTATTTTCCCGGTAGAGTATCAAGATTTATTTTTATGCAGCAAAAGGTTGCCAATGCACCATGGACATTGGGGATATGGATGAGGCATGGGTGAGCGGTGGTGGCCAAGTGGTTAGGTCATTAACTTGTGACCTAGGAGTCCCGGATTCAAACCGCCGCCGCCCGTCTTCCCAGGCAGCCTTTGTATGACCGCGGTTCCCCTTCCTGAATGTTGACTGTACATTTGTATATTCAATAAACAAAGGATGTGAAAAGATACTTCGTTTATTTTTTATTTACTATATATATATATATATATAACACAGGTGTTTAAATGTTACTAGACTGTTCACTTTTTGGAAAGTTTAGGTCTGATTTTACAATCAATAATCATACACTTTCGTGAGGCGGAAAGCAGAGTACCGGTCACAGATTTGTAATTTGTTCGCAGCCATGGTAATTGTTAAGTGTGGGTTAATTTCCTCGGTCCACACGGGTCAGGTTTAAACTGCCGACTGTTTATCTCGGCGGCGGTAGCCAGTATGGGATATTCACGCTCGTGAAGAGTGTGGGACCACATGGTAACAGTGGGAAACGATAACAGTGACTAAATGACGATGTATGACTTCTCACTTTACTGTACCATGCG